GGGGGGGGCGGCCAAAATTGTTTTTGCCTAGGGCGGCAAAAATCCTAGAGCCGGCCCTGTTTGTTTCCAGCTCTAATAGATCAGGAGGTAGCTTGACCTCAGAATCATGATGTGACGGTGTATTAGAAAGGCCTTTTAGAGATTTTTTAAAAGCACAAGTACTTTTTTTACTCTGGGCGGTAAAAAAGTAGATGGAAACAGCACAAGGAACTTCCTTTGCACTGGGGGAGAGGGACAGGGGAGCTGGCCAGCTGGGAGGCCGCACCGTTTGCTCAAGGCAGGGAGAGAAAGGGGAGTGCTCCCTCTGCTTTTAGCAGGGGGGATGGAACTGTGCTCTGTCCTTTAATTTCACCCCGCCTTTGAGACTTGTACAGTTAGACTCCTGGTATGCAGGGAACCTGACTACAGGCAGAGGGATACAAGATAGTTCCAATAATGTTGTTAAAACCTCTCCACTATTTCTTAAAGCATTTTTCTGTGGCCTAAACAGACTCTCTGATGAGGCGGGGTGATCTGAGTGTTCTGTTGGTACTGAATTAGGATGACCTGAATAACTCGCTCAGAGCCGTGCCACCGAGGAATAATGTGGTCATCCCATGCTGATCAAGCCTCTCTACCACACCAGCATGCGTTCTCTTTCTGTGCTATATATTTCATATCTACTGTGTGTATGGAGAGATTGAGCCAGATTCAACTCTGGCTTATGTTAAAGCAGCTCCATTGTAGTCAACTGAGTTTCATTTGCACCCGGTCCAAATCTGATTGGCTGTAGCATAGAAACTGGTGTGTTCTCTCTGAGCCAATCAGAATGCAGCTTTTCAAAACTGGGATTGCCGCTGGGTGGTGTGTTCCTTTGCTCAGCCTTCTTTCCCCACCCCCCAGCCATGCAGGGATTTGGGGTGGGCATGTCCCACTTGCAGCCAGGACTGGGAAGCAGGCAGACAAAAAGCAAACAGTGATCCCAAATCTTTCCCCCTAAAACAAGTTCAGGGCCTGATTTTTCTCTCTCTGGCACCAGCCTGATGTAACTCCACTGACTTGACTGAAGTTGCTTTAGATTGTCACTGGTATAGTGAGAGATGAATCAGACCCTTTGGGGTCTGAAGGCTTCGTCTTGTATTTTATCTGACCCTGAACACTTAGCTGAGTCAGTAACCAGCTGTCCCCCCCTCTGCTGCTGGAAAGGCCTCAGTTACAGCCCTCGGTGGGAAAAAGTGAAGCAAGCCATTACACCCTGGTCTCAGGGTTGCAACTGGAGTCTCTTCTGAAATAGAGCCAATATGTTTCCTCTTTCCATTTGGCCAACAACCTGCATTTCCCCTCATCACTGACTCCCCTTGGTAGGCTGGGGACAGAGGGTATTTTCCTTGGTGGGAGTGCTCATGGTTGGCTGTTGCACCTGCTTTGCTAGACTCTGCGCTGCCCTCTGGTGGAGGATCTTTGGGGCAGAAAAGGTTCTGCATATCAAGTTCAAAGGCAGTTGGGAGTAGGGCAAGGGCTAACATGGCTGTGTTAGCGAGGGCACTGCTTTCCCGTGCTGCCCACCAAGTGGTGGGTGCC